GCTGGTGCTGGTGCTGGTGCTGGTGCTGGTGCTGGTGCTGGTGCTGGTGCTGGTGCTGGTGCTGGTGCTGGTGCTGGTGCTGGTGCTGGTGCTGGAGCACTGGAGCACTGCAGCACTGGAGCTGGAGTACTGGACCAGGAGCTGGTGTTCACCATCCCCGTGGTGTGGTGCTGGACCCTACCCCGCCCCGGGCCGCGGTTACCAGGCCGCGCTCCTCTACACTCCGCTACCACGCTCCGCCCCGCCCCGCCCTGCCCCGGACCCGCCAGACATATGCGCCCGCCAGCGCGCCGGGGCGGCAACAACATTTCACATGAATTGTGATCTACGCGGCCGTGCCAAACGTCTCGTTGCCCTCCCGCCGTTTATTAGATTACACACACACTCTCTCTCTCTCTTTCTCTCTCTCTCTGCTCCGGGGTTTGGTGGGGGAGGGGGAGAAGGGGGTGCATATTCACGCTCGGGCACGGGGCTCCAGGAGCCGGGCCGCGCAAGGGGTGTGAATGCTCAGGCTCCTTAAGGGGGGACCTTTCGCAGCGGACTCTGAGAATGGCATAAAGGTAACTTAGGATGAGTATCCGCGCTCCGGTTATCGTCAAGGTGTATTGCCGTTTTTCCGCAAAAAGTTCACGCGTCGTCCGAGAGATAGTGCTAGTTTCGGTACACTTCCAAAAACATAACGCTAGCTTGTGGTAATTTGCGAATGCATTGCATAGATAGGCTTTGGGTGCATTTCCTCGACTTTTGTGTTGCCGAATTGTTTCGCGCAGGGTATACCTGCTGAGGACCGCTGGGCAGGGATTACCGCCGGCGGGGCGTGGGCAGGGGCAGGCGGCGCGCGGCGACCTGTCAGTCATACAATAGGACGAGCTCCGGGCCCCCAATAGAGTGCAATTGTCTGCAGTCAGATCAACTGCACGGGCCTAACAGCTACCAGAAATATTGGAGATTGATTAAAATTAGGTCCGGCATCATATTACTGAGGTTGTGCCGCTTCCAGTGATATAAGGGTTCACAGCAGTATCTCTAAAAGTAGAATTGAACTTCGGCATTTGAACTAATATTTGAACTCTCCTCGGGAGCGTATCACTCGGATCAGTAATTTTACCTTTGCATGTGATAGAAGAAAGATGCCCGGAGGTGCAATGCCCAATTTGATCAATATTAAAAAAATAATAAAGTGTTCAAAGACTCCTTCAAAAAGTGCTTACTTTCCTATTACATAAAAGGGGGGATTGTTCGGCGGTTTTTATATTGTGAACCCCCTATGCACCCGCGCGATTCCCTTCTCTTTCCACTGATACTTTTATTTTTTCTCTACGATGAAAATTGTAGAAATTAAAGTTCAAATAAGTAGATGTGGCAATTTGAATGGTCCTCATTTCCTCGCTCACTCGTCGGCTGGGGCCAGCCGTCGCTGCCCTGGCTTCTCTCGCAGGAGCTCCCCGGGCCCGTGCGGCGGCCGGCCACTGCACCGGACCGCTCCGGGCCACTCCGCAACGCTGCCGAAAGGACAGCGGCTCGGCCACGGCATTGTTTGGCCTCAGCTGTCGTAAACCCATCACTTCGACACGTCCGTCGGCTATCCTCCTGACGTAGTACCGCACACTGCCACCCGCGCCACCAGGCGGCCCCCTCCCTACTGACCGCGAGTTTTAAATGCGACAAAGTGACACCAAAAAAGGCTCTTCGTATTCGAACTCTCGTTTGAACACTTTTTGTCGCCGGACAAAAGTAACGATGTCAGTGGGTAGGGGAAAGACGCCCGCAGGTGCAATAGTATATGAGAGGAGACAAAAGTCAAACCATCAATATTTTTATTGAAAACGAAAAATATGCACTTTTTGAACGAGGTTTTGAACACTTTATTTGTTTTGGACAACGATGGGATTGGGCATTGCACCTCCGGGCATCCTTCCTCTATCACATGCCAACATGAAATTACTGATCCGAGCGATACGCTCTCGTGGAGAGTTCGACAAAAAGGCCGTGTTTTAACAATTTTAACGTTAAATATCTCAGCTTGTATTTGAGCCAGCGAGCCCAAATTTTATATTTAGAGTTAGGACGTGGTACAGAACGGCCACATAAAATTTCATCAAAATCGGACAACTTTTATTTACGAAAGGTCCCCCCTTAAAGATTCAAAGCTGACCGGACAGGGGCGCGGCGTAGCGTGGCGTGGCGAGCCCATCGATTCGCGGCGTGACAGCGCCTATTACTCTGATCGGATACGAGTCCTTTCGAGGGCTCCCCTCGCCTCTCATGCGGAATATGTTGTCGGCTGAGGGAGGCGTGAGTGTGTTGGTGTGTGTGTCTCTGAGCGTGTGTCGAGAATGTGTGTGTGTGTGTGTGTGTC